ACAAAGGCGAGTTATTCACTAAGATTTGCTATTACTTGTATTATTTAACATTATAGAATGCCAATGGGGGCGAGCACGCCCCTTAGGAAAGGGGCATTTAATCAACCTGGCTAACATAAGTCGGTTCTTCTCAACTTGTCCACACGCTGCTATCACGACACCGTACCTATTTTCCAAAATCGGCTGTCCTGTTACTATATAAAATGTTGAACTTAACTTTTCCCACTTATTAAACATGCAACATGTCTGGCTAACTTCAGATAATGTGGTAAATTGTCATTAAAAATCCGATGAATAATTTCAGTGGTGCTGGCGGACTTCCCGTATACTGTGGATTTTAAACCAGTGTTGTGGCAGTAATACGGCTCTACAATTTTATATTATTCGAGTACCACATCAATGTGTAAAAAAATACCTATGTTCATGAAAGTCATTTTTAACTAATGTGGGTACTCCATTAGATGATAGCCAGAATATAAAGTACAGTTTTTAACAAACGACAACTGTCTGTTTATTTATTTAATTAACGATTGACAACAATTTATGTATCTACACACAAAGGACGGATTCATAGTGAAGCAGATTTAGTGTGCACTCTCATAATATTATATATAAATACGGCTCCGTGGCGCTGTGGCTTAGCAATCAGTTGTTGCGCTGGGGGCCGCGGGTTCGAATCCCGCACGGAACAAGTATTTGTATGGCCTACAAATAATTGTTCCGGGTCTGGATGTTTGTCCTTGTGCAATTTATGTTTGTAAACTGCCTCCACGACACAGGAGAAAATCCTAGAGTAACGTTTTATAAAAAAAAAATATTATATTATTATACACAATATAAAATAATAATAAATACATATACATACATACTATATATATATATATATATATATATATATATGTACACACAACTATACTTTACCTTAACTTACCGCTTTTATTATTTTTAAAGATACATTTCAAAGCATTTAATAGCAGCAACACTCATGTTTACCCCCTCGGGTATCGTCAGTGGCAAGAGCTCTAGTTTCTAACCCTCTCAAGCGAAGCAAATGGCCGATGCGTGTTTGTACGCAGCATTTAATAATTAAGGTGTTAAATCTAAAATTTGTCTAAAATAAGATAATAAAGTAAAGTAAATAATAAAATAAGAAAAACTACTTTTAAGTTTAAAGAAAAGAAATATACAACTCGCTTTTTACATCGCTAGTTAAAGTAGCATTATGTTGAAAGCTCAACCTTAATGCATATTGTCTAGAGGTAAGCAGATTATAAGTATCCAGATAATGACTCTACTGCCTAGCTCTAAATTTTTGAATGTATTATTATAGCGTGAAGTTATATTTCTATTCTATCGGTTCGACCTATACGTAACACTACAGTGAAATCGTAATCAGTTCTCAAGTTTTAGTGTGATGGGCAATTAGACACACAGACAGTTTCCGTTTCCAAAAATTACTGTCTTGTGAGTAAGGTATTTTGTGAGGTTAAACTTAAGCATTTTGCTTTCCCTATCTGTGAACTGTTACTGGTGGGTAATATTTATAAGCACTGCAATCAGATCTTTGTAAGTTTGAGGTATTTGCAGCTAGACTAACTGGATTATTTGATGATTTTTATCCTGTATCACCTGGTAAGGTCAAATCATAAATTGATTAAACGAAAAACAGCTACTGTAGTGGCTACCCTTACAATAAAAGATTAATATAAAACACATTGTACTGGCGATGTAAGAATATCCGCTACCCCATATCACTCCGTGGGTGTCGCAAAAGGCGACAGAGGGAAACCAATCAGGAGGCAGCAGCGTCTTTCTAATGACGATTAAAAATAAACACTGTGGTTGCCAATCCGCTTGCCAAGCGTGGCAACTATGGCAAATATCCCCCCTATCAGGCAATCTATGGGGGACACCAATGTTCAGCAGTGGGCTTCAATAGGCTGTAACGATTATACCACAATGCGGCTAATTCTATGTTGCAAAAAGAAATATCAATATTTTAACAGTATTTCTGTTTCTTTCTATTGTTGTTAATTTTTTTAATACAATTTTAAAACCTATATTATAATTATCTACAACTATGTTTTGTAGTTTTATTGTTTTTAATACAATATTTTGCTGGTGTTAAAGGTAAAAAGGCATTCATCATTCTGAGTGTCTATATACTTGACTAAGCGTAGTACCCTAAGGATCCTTAGACCTTCAGATAGATGAGAGGTGTAAACATCCTCATCGTATAATACATGCCGGATGCAACTTACTCAAGATCGGTGACGGGAAGTAGCGTCAAAACTCCGATCATCAATCCTTCAAAGCATCACGATCACGGTTATTACAGCAGTGTGTTGGTAATAGATTCGACGTGATTAGCTCGTAGCTATATTATCATTGCGAGTATGATTATGATGAGGAGATAGGACTTATTAAAATTATGAAATGATGATAATGATTACTTATCTACTATAAATGTAGACATCGTTAAAAAAGTTATTTCAGTAAAACACATTGTCACATATTACCCTACAACGTTCAATACCTCAGAACAGTAACTAATTATAACGCAATTAGTATCGGCGTGTAAAACACGGCGGAACCGCCGCCATGAATTACCGGGCAGTAGCAGCCCGCTTTAGGCCAATACGATTAATATTTAATGCTGCTCTTCCTATGTGAAATTAATCGTTGCCTATGCGAGAGCCTGCTATATCAATTGTCTACTGAAATTGGCTGCGTTCCACACTTATTTGTTTTATCAACTGGCAGATTGGCAGACGATCTACATACATTTAATATTATATTAATCGTAGCTAACAAAGTTGTTGATGATGAAAATAATCTATAAGTTACAGCAATTTCAACAATAATTTATTTTTGGTTCTGATATTATTTTCTAGTAATATGTTCACGTTACACTTCCTTTCCTTCTTTTAGTCGCAGGATCGCTATACTGTCCCCACACTAATCATGATCTCGTTCAACGTAGGGTAACACTTTGTTACACTGTCTAAAATACAAAAGTACCTATCAAGAAATATAAGCGCCAGTAGGTAGGTAGGAGTTTATTACCTCACATAAATATATGTAAAATAGCCACAAAAGGTAATGTAGTTTATGCACGGGTAAACAGTGATGATTGAAGCTGGTCGGTGTAAGGATTGTGAATTAACGCAAGTTATTTACATGCTGTAAGATCTTTTCTAGACCAGTTAGGTTATACATAGCCAGAATTTATAAACTGCCGTGTATTGGCGGCAACAGAGATTTTACCATTCGTATATATCGAGAAACAGTATCTGTTACTGTCATCGACCATTTCTCTGCCAAGCGTCTCTCTGTGCATATCCAGCGGCAAATCTATATATCGGTATATTTTAAAAATTTTGCAAATTTTTTATTCTTAAAATTGCTAAGCTTCAAGGCAAATAAAAATACATTTTACATGGATATCATATATTAATAGTTCTAAACGTGTCAATTGTTTCTAATTTTATACTAAATAAGGACCTGAAAGTATCAGGATTTTTACTTAACAACATTAACTTTAGACATAGATGTATCACAGCTGTTGTTCTCATTATAAGCTTACGATTTAATAAGGAAAGTAACAAAAAGTAATCCATCGTGGTTTGTTTATTTCGTATAAAATGGTTCGGCACGCATAATTTCAATTAAAATTTGTGTTAACCGAAATTATGCGTTGCAAATTGGCGCCAAGTAAAGTATTCTATGATTGGCGCTGTCACCCATAACAATATATTGAACATGGAAATGTGAAATATTAATTAATTAAACTTTTTAATTTCCATCCAAATCTTGCAATTTGCAAAAGAAGTAGTAGAATAGAAGCAGTATTGACAGAGCACATTGCGTGGATTCTTAATACATGCATACAAAGCGATATCATTTGGGCGGCGACGTGGCAGTGCTGGTGATTATCATAATGGCGTCACAGCCACGCTTTTTACGCCGTTCGCTACATATTACGGAATCCACTGTTTTTGATTTCGCCCAACCGTAGCGCGGCTAGTACCTATGCCGAGCTCTCTCATCTTTCGCTGCTCGCCTTAACTACTCTGAGACGTCTTTAAATTATGCAGCTCTCCGTAATCCGCACCCTAAACGCCTTCTCCTCCGCCTCAATTATTCATTCGGGCGGTTTGATGTTTTAGAAAATTGTCGCGATACTCGAGACGGGCGCTCCTGTATAATTCAAGTGTCGCGCTCAAACCGCAGCTGATACCGGTTTCTATTCCTATATACGCTCTGAACTCAACCAGTTCTTTATTAATTACAAAATTTATGAAAAAAATTTTTGGTTACTTAATTTTCCCTTCGCGATGATAATTTATATAATTTATTTTATTGCCTAAAATGTCAACAAATGGATTTAATTGTTTGTATTTCGGAAAGTATAAATTGAACAAATTGCTACAAAGAGCTGCTGCGTTTTTATTAATAGAATTATGCGATTATGTATCATGTATTTCTACCAAAAAACTTATCCGGTGTAAAAAGTGTTACATAAAAGTATTTATTGTTCTGGGTCTGGATGTTTGTCCTTGAAAAAATAAAATATGTGTATATAAACTGCCCCCGCGATACAGGTGAAAATTATAGTGTGGAGGTGATGTTTAAAAAAAAAGATAAAAAGATATTAGAATAGTGTTAAAACTTTTCAAATTCAATTAATTACCATAATATAATATACCGATATTTCTATTTATTATATTATATTTTATTTATTTAATCTTTATAGGTAGAGAATGCCATACGGCATTAAGTCCGCCTTTTATATTACTTATTATAAGGTGCACACCTGTCAACCCTGGTGTAATAACTCATTATATGTTTATTGTTCATTTGATGAGCTGTTAAAATTACTTTTTTAATTAATATTGTTTAGTATCTGATCTGCTCCGATTTATTTATTTTGTAGTACGTGACATTACTTTCATTTTAACTCTTTTCTACAAATATTGTGATTTGCACATCTTTCACAGGATTCAGAAGGCGATACGCCCCTTCACGATGCTATTTCAAAGAAGCGAGACGACATATTGACTTTGCTGTTGGACCACGGAGCCGATATGACACGAACAAATAACAATGGATTTAATGCACTTCACCACGCCGCGCTACGAGGTAACCCGAGGTAGGTGACTTTTCTATTCTAGATGATAAATTGTTGAAAACAAAAGGCTAAAGTAGAGATAAAATGAAACAGCAAAGGAACTCCGTGCGATCTTTTGTGCGCGAAATACAGAAAACATTTTAGACGTCAGTTCGCTAGGTACATTAATGTGTGTTCCTATACTATAGAACAAGTAAAACACGTTTATAACTTTTGTGTGAATGTGTACAGGGGACTCTCACCCGGGAATCACGTATCCAAGCGAGACATAACAACGTGGACTTTGTTTGAAATAAACATAACATTGCCTTGTCGCCCTTCATTAATCCGTTAGTAAATGGGCAGTTATGAGCAAACCTGCCGGGAAATAAACTGCTACGCGCCTGAAGCTATGGCTTCCTCCATAGAGTATGTTTAATCTTTATATGACTATCTATATATGTACATACTTATATACAATGTAAACTTTAATAAACTACGTTTTTATATAAACTTTTTACTCAACAAAATAAAATTACTCTAATAATACAATATATTAAACAAAAACTTTTCGTAAAGCAGGATAAACAAAGAGTATCGTTATTAACTTGACCACTCAATGCGTAACCATCGTCCATTCTTGAACAGTGTAGAACAGCCGTTCTCTCTTCGAGATTCTTTGTTATGAAAATAAGATATCCAAAAGATCTCATTTTATGCAAATACAACCAATCTTTCTTTATTATCTCTAAATGTTACTGGCATTACCGTTCTCGACTTTAAATATTTATTTAAAACTTTGCAATAAATGTATTTGCTTATGGCGACGTTCTTTTAAGCATATATTATGAAATTTATAATAAATGACGATGCTTAAAAATAGTATTAAAAGATATTTAAATTTAAATAAAACTAATTTTACGGATTTTATCGCGAAGGTAGCCGGGCTAACTATGACAGCAGGACGTCAAACACCTCAGTCCCCCGTGACCACGGGTGCTGGAAAGCACCCGTGGTCACGTCGGGAATATAAAAATAAGTTAATATACGCGATAAAATCCGTAAAATTAGTTTCATTTAAATGTGTAGTGTTCGCGTAAATATGAGAAATCATTAGATATTTAAATATTTCTTATCAAATCGCAATTAAAATATGTATAATCGTACATTTTCTTTCATGAAAACAAGAAGACAGCGACTCGTTAGGTTTAAAGTTTTTAACAGCATCATCCATACATTTTAAATGACGAAGATGTTAGATAACATTTCTATATATAATTATAAAGGATAAGAAATCCGAACCGATCGAACGTGCATCATTAGATGCTCTGCGGGAAATAACTAATATTATTTCTTATGTAACATTTAATACGCGACTTACTAGTGTTTTATCTACTGATAAAACATGGGAATTCGAAATAGGTACAAAAACGGTTGAGAATAACCTAACGTGTACCACAATTTCTTACATACTCGTACATATACATCCCTTAAATTTAACAACCAGGAAAAAAAGGTCTTTAGTAACAGTACCATTTACCTATTACATATTATGTGAAATAAGAATTCCTATATGATTTGATTTGAGGAAGTTATTTGCTTTTGTCTTATTTGAAAATGAACGTTGTTGATAATAAATAATATTATACAATAATACAGTACAAAAGAACTTTATTATTTTCCTAGATTGCCAATGCACTAGAGTACTTCAAACATTTTATCCATTTTCATTATTGTCATTAAAATTTACTCGCCAAATTGTTCATTCATAACATTGTTCAATTTCAGTTACTGAATATGCCCTTAATTTATTTGTGATAATAAAAGTAGTGCTGTATAAAATAAAATAAATTATTTGCCGTATATAGCTCGATTACATAGTTCGAACTGCGATTTTGAAGGTGAAAGATTCAGATTATCGCTTCATCTAGGGAAAGGTCGCTTTCCATGGCGCTTGCCGGTACAAGGCAACTCATTCAACCTTCAGGTTAAGCCTAGCCGTTGTTGTTATGCAATGGTTAAGGGAGAATGTGTTTTTTTTTTGTTTTTGTTTTAGGTACAATTTTTGTAGTTAAATTGAACTGTAAGGAGAACCCATTTTGCATTATAGAATAGTGCTTAGGTCCGCCAGCGATTCTACCATGAGGACTATATCGTGGGCAAATCGTAGGTGAGTTATGTACTCACCATTGATGTTATTACAGTATCCTTTCGAGTTCAGTAGCTTGAGAACGTCTTCCATTGCAGCGATGAAGAGTTTCGAAGATACGACGTCACCCTGTTTTACACGTCTTTGCAGTTGGATAGGTTTCGAAGTCTGGTTTTGTACTTGGATAGACATCTTAGCCCTACTGTACAAACACTTCAGCACTTCCATATACCGACAGTCAACTTGATACGGCTAAATTTTGACACACTTAAAGGCTTTATCCAAAGATGTTTTATAGTTCCAGATACCGTGTTGCTAACACGCCGCATCGTTCATAATGACGCCAGTCTTCAATTCATGTGTGCGTGAGTACCACGTGACGCCCCTATCTTACGTACCATGGCTGCATTAATATGCGTGACTTCGGTAATAACAGTGCGATTCAATTACCCAAAAAATGTGGGAGATTTTATATTTTATTCATATTGACGTACCTATTGATTCAACGAGTATAAAATGTGTGTGCGAAGCGTGTGCATTAGTGTGCGTGTGTGTATGGGGATACTCGTATGGTTGGTTATGTGTGTTTTATGTAGGTACGAACATCGCACTAAAATATTGAAGATATGTAATAAAACCTATAATTAATGTAACAGTTAAAAATAAATAAAAAAGCACAGTAGATATTTATGTACGTAACATATATTTATAATCTATTATTATTAAATATATACAGAGTACTACATTTTTGTACTGTAGAACGCAAAATATTGCCAAATTTTACGAAGACATTAATTATTTTTCAATCCTAAGTAAAATGACGAAAAAAGTAAGTTTAGTTAAGCGTAAACTTCGGCCAAGAGATAGCAAAATGTTTAATTTTTTTTTAAATTGCTCCGTTCCGTTGCTGCGTGAAGGAAGGATAAAAAGAAATCAACAAAAAATCACATTTTCACATTTATAATATTATATTAGTATGGATTGTCAAGAATGATAGATAAACTTTTGAAACCGGTTTACAATCGGCATTTTGAGGATGGAACTATACACTCGCGCTCTCTTTCTCACTCTAGTAAATAACGGTTCTGAGTAACCAAAAAGGATAGAAGCACAGGAACGTGCAATTTCATGCTGTCAAATGTAGTTCAACCCTAAGCCTTAAAACGGTTTAACTCTATAGGTTGGGTAAAATCTGTAAAATTAGACCGTTTAAAACCCCTATACAGATAACCTTTGCGGATTTACAGATAACCATTTTTAAATGTCATGATCAACCGATCATGACATTAAAAATGGTAAAAATATTTCATAGACCAGGCAACACTCGAATATTATTGCGCAGTATTTTTACTTGTATTGACTTTTAGCTTTCGTATTCTTTTACAAAGAAATACACCATAAAATTGTATAGTTACTTATGAAAAGTGATGTTGTTATCCTTATCTTTTTTCCAAGAGTAATTTTTACGTGATTTCACAGCACAAACAGTCATTCAAGTCAACAAGTCAGTCAGCGAAATTAAAAACACCGGTGCGTGACATATGTTCACAGTGAACGTCGCTGGTGTAATGGTGGAACGATCGAACGAATACACCAATATTGGTGCCTTTGAAATGGAAGCGTTTTAAGCGCGCTTGTACGGTATCTGGACCTATAAAACATCTTAGGCTTTATCATAGTCCAAATTCGCATGATAAAGAGGCAGATTGTTCTCTTCGCTTTATATACAATCCGCCGAAAAGTATGTACTCGTATGTGGTCTATGGTGCTGGTCTTTTCGGAAACCGGCTTGTTCGGGCGGCTAGAAAATGTGTCTGCATGGGAGACGATTCGTAATGACTTCCGAAAACAGCACGTAGACGCGGCTAAGATCGCTTCTTCAATATAAGCTGTATCGAAGTTGCTTAAGTCTCGCCGCATACATTTGGAGATCTGTCTGTTCAGTTGTCTGTATGCTGTCATATCTGCTGAAGACTGTGGCTTTAACAGTGTGATCGCAGAGTTTTTCTGTGACGGGTCTTGCAGAACTTAGCTCCGACTGCATGGATAGTTCCCACGAGCTTGTCATTAACATCGTCCACTGTATTGCAGCTTTCTAGATACTGAAAACGATTTCATAACTCAAGCTGAAAGTTGTCGGGCCTTTGGATTAGAGCACGACGGGGACGGAGTTTTGACTTCATTAGACGTTACTTCTCCAACTTAACGTTTAGGTTCAATGTGCCCATCACTATTCGGTGATCGATGCCAGTTTTCACCCTCGCAATCACTAAGACATAACTGAACAATTGCCGTCTAGTCGTCATAATGAAGTCAATTTCATTTATTGGCGAATCGTCGGGGCTCGACCAAGTCCAGTTCTTGTGGGACCGCTTCTCGAAGAAAGAGTTCATCATAAAGAGTCTTTCTTTCTCCATGAAGTTGACCAGCTGCTGGCCCCTTGGGTTCCGTTGCCCTATTCCGAATTTCCCTACTTTCAGCTCACCGTTCTCTCTTGTGCCTAATTTTGCGTTGAAGTCTCCCATTAACACCGTATAGTGAGTTTTGGAGATATGTCCTCATACATTTCCTCTACCTCCTCATCGAGATGTGCCGAGGTTGGTGCGTATAAAGTATGCAACCCTCGTCAACACACTCCCAATCTTTACAACGTTGTTGACGAGAGGTTTGTGGACGATTAATCCGACACCTCCTTGGGACAGATGTTCGCCCTCCCGTTGATAAAACAAGTTACCAGTTTCGAGGATTACCATGTCCTCCCACTCTCTTCGAACCTCAGATAATCCTATAATATCCCAGCACAACATGTCTCTTTTTCCAACACCAGGATCTTCTCGTTAGTCCACATAACCATGTAGCCAGGTCCACATTGTTAGACCGGTTGGTCTACAGTGTTA